CCACATGGAGTTATTACTGGTGATCCCGGTCCTTGCCCACCCTCAAGACCTTGGCACACCGTTTCTTCACATACAACATTGATAGAAGCTTGTGGATGCAGGCTAGGGGGAAACAGCCTATGTTATGAGATGAGAGAGATACACAGGCTTCTTTTGAAAAGGAACAAGTCATAACGGACCCTGTGTGAAGACCTGTGAACTGAAGCAGTCTAGGCAACAGAGACCATGACCTTGGTTGCCTCCCCCTATATGGTTACAATGCAGACTCACCCTGTTCTCTTCTCTACTCCCTGCTGCAAGTGAAGGCCAAGGGTTGTGTGTTTTTAGTGTCTTGGGTTGGACTGAGATGGGATGGAGCGTATGGAGGCTGCTGTGGGCTGATGGAAGGGAAGTACCACAGTGTGGGCTGCGTGGCGAGCTGCCAGGCCCCTGCCCAAGGAAGCTAACTATCACCTGAGATACCTTAGGAAAATGAGCATCATGATGAACAGTTATTTACCCGTATAGTTCCTTTCTCAGAGCATAATGTGTTGATGCCTCGTAACATCCTCCTGAAGAAAGGAAGTGGCAGATAGTGTTAAAATGTTGCTGGTTAATTATGGGGAGACTGAAGCATGGATAGGTTTATGGGGCCTGAACAGAGTTATACAATGCCTTAGTGTCTGGCCTGGGAATGAAGCCTGAGTTTGCCGCTTGCTGTCAGGACTGCCGACGGCATTGTGTTTAGCATTGTACAACAGTGAAAGGGGCTTACTCTTAACAATGCAAGAGCTGCTGTAGGAGACAGACACAATGAACTTTGGTACAGTATAGTCTAGAGGCCAAAATGAGTAATTTTAAATAAACTGACTATGAGGTCTAAAGCTTCATTAAGTTTTAAAATGAAAAACAAGTGAAAACTCTGCATAGTTTTTAGGAACTGACTCAAAAAAATAACAACAAAAAATACTCTTCCCCCATTTGAAGTAGCATATTCTTAAAAAGTCTTATTTTGTTAGCTTAAAATCTGACACTATTCCTGTTAACAATAGGATTTATTTATTTCAAATAAATGTTCAAAGATTCTGGGATTTATTTCAAAAATTCTGCCTTGTAATAATTGTCAGTCCAACCTGTATGCTTTTTATGTTCGAAAATACTTTATTTCCATAGCTTGTGGTTTTAGGAGGAGGCTTTCGTTTTATTCAGATTTAATTTGGATTCGTCCAGAACAGTTGGAAGTACAGAGCCTGAAATTCAGGAAGGAGATTGAGGAGAGAGGGGAGATGTCATGTTAGGTGTCTTTACCATCTGCATGATTGGAACTGTGGGGGTGGAGATGACATCACTGAGGAGAATACAGAGGAGATAAAAGATGAGAGTGGAGTAGAATGTTACTGCTCAATTGCCTGTTATGTCAGAAGTGTCTTGGGGCCGGCCTGGTGGTGCAAGTGGTTAACGGCGCGCGCTCCGCTGCGGCGCCCGGGGTTCGCCGGTTCGGATCCTGGGCGTGCACTGACACACTGCTTGGCAAGCCATTCTGTGGCAGCGTCCCATATAATGTGGAGGAAGTTGGGCACAGATGTTAGCCCAGGGCCAGTCTTCCTCAGCAAAAAAACAGGAGGATCGGCATGTGTTAGCACAGGGCTGATTTCCTCACACACACACACACACACACACACACACACACACACAAAAAGCAGTGTCTTAGGTGACCTAGAATAAATTGACAGGTGATGTAGATATGAATGGGCTTGGCTGCAAAGTTTTTGCACTCTGGATTTTAAAAACAGCATGACGATGAAATTCTGGAACTCTTGGCCAAAATATGTTGAGTAATATTGACATATGGATAATTTAAACAGGGCAGTATAGCAGTCAGTCACCTGCAATTTCATGTTGTATTCAAGATTTATGATAGTTTGGATCAGGGTAGTTGGGCTAGCCTCCCTCCAGGAGATAGTCCAGGGGAATTCTGGCAGAGGAGCTAAGCAAGAATGGGGGTGTCCAGAGCAGGAATAGGGCCTCTCCCCACCTCCTCCAACAAAGGTCAAAGCAACCCAGTAAGGGAAACCACTGTGAGAGTAGTGGTGTTGCCTGATATAGCTGAACTTGGTAGAGCTCTCCTAAGTGAATGCCTGCTACCCAGTGGTGGTCTTTGAGGGAATACATACATACATACATCTTCCTCTTAGAAAAACTTTCATCATGAGTCCAGTAGACTCATGGGTAAGGAAAAGTTTGCAAAAAGTCAGACATTATCTGCCAGCCTTCATACCAATCCGGGATGCAATGTGTTGGCATCTAGAATGCTGTTTATAGTTGTGATCATTAATTTAGTAGGAGAAGGCATAACGGAACTCAAGTAAGGCCAAAGAAGAGTAGCTAATATGATGAAGGAGTGGGTGGGGTTGCTATATGAAGGCAGACTGAAATAATTAGGGCTCCTCAGGTTTGAGAAGACCAAGAAGAAATAAGAGTTTAGTAAATCTGTGAAGAATATGGATTAGATTATCATAGGATTGTTTACCAGAACCTCCTAAGAGCCTAGGAAAAGTGAATTTAGGACAAAAAAGAAGCTCTATCATACCGAGAAAGTAGATCCTGTACATCAAAACCACTCTTATGGGAACTGGCTAAATTCTGGCGTTGAAGTGAAATGAAAAAGTCAAGCGTTGACATTATTTTCTTGAAGCGTTGGGCGGAGGGGGTGGTCCCAGAGGAAGCATAGATCAAGCTTCCTATTAGCCTTTACATTTTCTTTTCTAAAGTGAAAATTAAATGTTATTCATTCTTCATTCAGCAGTTATTCATTGAGGTTAGATTCTATGCCATGTTTTTTTTTTTTTTTTGTGAGGAGGACTGGCCCTGAGCTAACATCTGATGCCAATCCTCCACTTTTTTCTTGGGGAAGAGTGGCTCTGAGCTAACATCCATGCCCATCTTCCTCTACTTTATATGGGACGCCGCCACAGCATGGCTTACCAAGCGGTGCATCGGTACGCACCCAGGATCCGAACCTGCGAATCCCGGGCCGCCCAAGTGGAGCATGTGCACTTAACCGCTTGTGCCACTGGGCTGGCCCCTCTATGCCTTGTTTCCTGCTAAGCATCAGGATACTGGGGTGAAGATGGACAGATATGGTTCCCACTGTCTGGTGATGAATAAGAAACGGTAATTATGTGATGAATTCACAAACATGCTGTGAAAGCTTGACATGAATTGCTAATGTACTCTAAGGATCAGAGCAGGCGACCCTGAGGAAGAGGTGCTTCAGCTGAGCCCTGAAAGCAGATGAGGAATTCGCTAAGCCAAGAGCTAGGGGAAGAGGGAACAATATATGTTGAGTGCCTTGAGGTGTGAGAGGGTCATCATGGCTGGAGGGGGGAAAGTGAGGGGGAGAGTAGGAAAAGAGTGATGGGAGATGAGACTGGGGGCATGGGTTGGTGGAACAGATCATGGAGAACCTTGTAGACCATGACAAGAATTTGGACCCAAGAGCAGTGAGAAATCACCAAAGGGGGTTAAGCAGATATGATGAGATTTCATTTTTATAAATGATCACAGTGGCTGCCACATGGAGAATAGAGAGGGCAAGAGTAAATATATGGGACCAGTGGGAGAATGTGGTCTTGTCTAGGAGACAGTGGCCTGGGCTGGAGAGAAGTGGACAAGTCCTAGAGCTATTTCAGAGGTCATCTGGACTGGATTTGTTGACTAGGTATGAGAAGTGATGGAGAGAATTAATCAAGCTTGATTTATGAGAGTGTGACAGCCAATTAGGCCTCAGATCTTATCTGAGTGAGAAGAATTAGCATGGGTTCTTTTATAGGTCTCTTCTCTCATGATCTCCAGATGACCCAGAAGTCAGTAGATCTGCCTCCCTCCCTGCCTTCCCCTCTTTCTCTCTTGAATCATTCAGGCTCTATAAGCTGGCATATAGTTGGCCTCTAATAAATGGATGTCAAATAAGTAGAAAGATCAAAAAATGCATGAATGATTTCCAATCTCCCAATTCTCCTTTCTTTAACTCTTGCAGAGCAAACAGGTTTGTGCAGTGCTTAAACTACATGACAGTTCGTGGTACCCTGTGGTGAGCTGACCTGAAACAGAATTTAGCAAAGATCAAGATGGCAGTAGTATATATATAGGGACTCTATTTAGTGATTTTTAAAACCTTTTTATTTTGAAATATCAAAGAGTTGTAAGACTATTACAAGGAATTTTTGTATAGACTCTTTACTCAGCATCACCAGTCATTAACATTTTAATCTGTTTGCTTTATCACACCCCTCACCATAGAGAGATGGAGATGGTGATGGAGATATTTTGAATTTTTCTTAGCCAGTTAATTGCAGATGTCAAGACCCTTCACCTCTAAATACTTTAGTATGTGTTTTTTCAGAACAATGATTTTCCTTACATAGCTGCAGTGCGATGATTAAATTCAGGAAATTTAACTTTATGCTGTTATCTAATATGCAGTCTCTATTCAGCCCTCACCAGTTGTCCCAATAATGTCATTTATGCGCTTTTCCTGCCTGATCCAGGATCCAATCCAGGAGGCAATGCATTTCGTTATTATGTCTCTTTAGTCTTCTCTAACCTGGCACAGTCCCTCAGCCTTTATTTGGCTTTGAGACATTGACATTTTAGAGGGGGGCAGGCCAGTTGTCTTGCGGAATGCTCCTCAGAGTGGTTTTCTGGCTTCCTCATGCGTAGAATCAGGTTGTGCATTTTGGGCAGGAGAGCTGCGGAATGATGCCGCCCCCCCCCCCCCCCCCGCAGTGCGCCTGTCGCAGCAGGAGGGGAGCTGTGAAGTCCGTATATGTCTCATTCCTGGGGATGTTAACTTTGGTCATTTGGTTAAGGTGGTGTTTCTCAACTCTAAAGTTACCTTTCCTCCTTATAATTAATAGATGATTTAATTGCTTCTTAATACTTGGTCATTTTAAATGTCACTAAGCTTTGTGTCTGCAGTCTTATTTAAAAGAGCCACATGTTTCCCCCTCTCTTGGCAGTGTTTTAGAGCACTCTGCTGCAAGGGACCACCACCTGCTCGACCAGAATATGACCTGGTTTGCATAGGCCTCACAGGCTCTGGCAAGACCAGTCTGTTGTCAAAGCTCTGCAGTGAAAGCCCCGACAACGTCGTGTCGACCACAGGTGGGTACTGCTCCACGGTCCTGTCCCTTTCTCTTTCTCATCCCCAAGATGTTCTCATTTCTTATGCTATTTGTAGGTACTCCCCTACCTCTCTCCCCTTCCTTCTTCTCTCCATTTGTGGTTAAATGCTTCAGTCAGTTTGTTTATTTTATTTTTAGGTACTCTGTTTTTCAAAATAGATTTGAGGGAGACTTTAAAAGCATTAAATTGTTGTACCCTCTGTTGCTCTAGTTGGTCATTTCAGTGCCACTGAGTAAGTCAAGCTCAGGAAAATATTAATACACACTAACCCTGAAGCCTGGAATTCTAGAACTGTAACAAAATGGATTCATCTCGGTCCCATTGAGTGTTATCCTCCCTTGAAGTGTCACTCTAGCCTACTTGTGTTGGTCAGACACTCCCTGAACAGTACAACTGATGGAGTCTGACTCTTCTTCCCTCAGCGTTTTCATCCGGAGGAGAGTCGGTGCAGAGACCATTGATCAGGTTTACCGTGTTCCCTGAGATGGCCAAGAAAAGGCAGTCTAAGCATTGGTTCTCACTTGGGAAATTTTGCTCCCCAGGGGACACTGGGATGTCTGGAGACATTTTGGTTGTCACAACTCAGGGAAGTTGCTCGGGGACTTCTACTGGGTAGAGGCCAGGGATGCTGCTAAACATCCTGCCATGCATAGGACAGTCCCCACCAAAAAGAATTATCCGGCCCCAAGTGTCAGTAGTGCTACCTAGAGCTTTTGTCACTCCCCAAATATTTCCTCTTTCTCTTCTGACAAAGAACAGGAAAGAAGAGTGTAAATTAGAGAAAATACTGGAAGAATAGTTGGAGATGAAGAACAGGGCTGCCGTGGGAGGAGCTGACAAGGAAGGAGTGGGGTGAGACATTGATTAGCTGGGAAAGTTGAAAAGATTGTTCATTCGGCCAACTTTTTAGGGGCGCTTACTATGTGCTAGGTCCAGTGTTAGAAACTGAGGATAAGCAATGATCCCAGCATCCAGGAGACTCAATCTACTGGCCACATGGACATTAAGTTTATGTCTAGAAATTTTCAGAGGAGGAGTAGTGATCACTGTTGCCTGGAAAGGGGGAAGGGAAGGATGCACGATGTTTTCTACATTGGATCTTGAGGATAAGTAAACCTGGCAGACTAGCAGGAATAAGAGAGTAGGATGGGAGAAGAAAGAAGATTTCAGGGCAGAGGGGCCTGAAACAGATTGGCACCCCCTGGGAACCATGTTTTTGTGGCCACAGGGCATGATTAGTAGAATGCCAGGAGTCGAATCACAAGAGATAGGCAGTGGCCAGATCTTGGTGAAACTTTTATATTATACCATGCTCAGAACTTGAACTTTTCCTGTAGCTAGTGCAGAGACGTCAGAGTATTTTAAGCAAGGAAACTCTGTGATCAAATATCCATTTGAGAAGGATCACACTATGTGATGTGGAGGCTGAATTGTAGGAGGCACTGTTAGATGTTAACTAAGGCAGTGGTAGGAGAGAGAGCAAGAGAGAGAGATGAGGGGATAGATAGAATACTTATTTGAGGTCTAGAATTTGCAGGGCTTGTTGGCCAGTTGGGTTTGGAGGGTGCGAGAAAGAAAGAAGCCAAGGATGACTCAAGTCCTGGCTTAGGTGGTGGGTGGATGATGGAATCATTAACTAGGATTTCCTAATAAGAAGGAAAAATATTGATGACCAAGAGCCTTACACCAGTTCAGATCAGGTTTTGCCACCAAATGTTAGGAAAAAAGTGCAGGTTTTGAGAGCTTTTCAAATTTTAGAATTGTAGATAAGAAACCATGGACCTATAAAGAAACAAAGACATAGCTTAATTAAGGATGAGGAAAAGAGTGAGGGGTTCGTGAAGACTGGGGAGACCACAGAGAGGATGAGCAGAGCTCAAGCATGGCCTTTTGCGTGAAGCCATTCGTAACTACCTTCCTTTTGCCCCCAACGGAACTGGGCAGTCCCTGCTGTCCCACTGTGCATTGTCCATATTTCTGCCATTTAGTGCCTGCAACACTGCTGTTGACATGTCTGTCTCCCCAGCCTGGGGTGTAAGCTCCAAAGGGCAGATAGAACATCTTATTTGGCTTTGTGTACCCAGAGCCTGGCACAATGTTTGGGCATAGCCATAGATGTTTGTTAGTGAATAAGCAGATAACAATAAATTGAATCAATATATTTTCACATAAAGTATCATACCTCTGTGAGCCTCATAACAGCCTTATATGGCAAGTAAGATTCTTTTTCCATATTCTGTCTTTAAATCATCTGAAGCTCAAAGGTAGAGTGACATGGCTATTGTGACACTGCTAGTGACAGAGGTAGGGTGCCAGTTCAGGTCTTCAAATGAAGTTTAGTCATACTCAAGGCTTAGGATTTCTGATAGGAGTCTGTATTTGCTGGTTGTTGGTAAAATTAGGGTATCTTTTGAGGAATGTGTTATGTAATTATACAAACTTTATTAACTTAGTAATTCTTTTAAAGCAAAATAACTTTCCCCAAAATGTGTAAAAGTAATACAAAACTATACTGTTCTTCACTGCTTAGCGGTATAAACAGGAAACAGTATTGCCAGAAGCACAGTCTTGAATTATAATGTAAAAAATTATCTGTAAATAATATTTTTATAATTTATTTGTAAATTGTATTATAATATGTTTTGTATTTGTTTTTGTTAAATTTCTTAATATTTTCCTTTTACTGGAACCAATTGTAACATTGTATGCTAGTTAATTTTCTGATGAATTACATATTAGGTTGGCTAACATTTTGGATATCAAGCTTCTATGACTTGTCGTTATTCTGAACTAGGCGCAGTGCCTTTTTGGAGGCCTGTTTGGAGGTCTGTGCCATCAAGAAGCTTATACCCGGGTTAGGAAGATAAATATTCTAATGATTAACAGTTTACATTTATTGAATGTTTAATATATGTCAGGTGCTAAGACAGAATGTAATATGTACTATACTTGATGGTATAAACAGGAAAGTTAAAAGAGAGAGTGATCGTTTCTAATCTGGGGAATCAAAGAAGGCCTCATTTGAGTAGAACCTTATGTGATGGGTGGATCTAAGCAGAGAGGAATGGGGTGGGAAGAGTAAGGAGAGAAAGCATAGGGTGTATTCAGGGACAAGTTAGTGGTCATACTGGGTTGAGGCACAGGATTTAGAGATGTAGGATGTGCTATGACCTGAGGCTAGAGACTGGAGAAGCTGTCAGAGACCCATAGCCGGGAGAGGTGATTCAGCAGGGGCTGTAATTGTGGGGCTGGAGAGTTGGAGGGAGATGTGATTGATCCTGTAAGAGTGACAGTCATTATTGGGTAATAATAAAGAGGAAAGGAAGAGAAAAGAATCAAATATGACTTAAGTTTCTAGCCTGGTGATTGAGTGAATTGTAAAAACTAAAGAAAACATGACAGGCAGTTTTAAGATAAAAGACAATGAGTTTAGTTTTGGAAATGCTAATTTTGAGGTGTTGGCAGGACTTCCAGCAGTGATCCAAATGCCAGAAGACAAGCTGACTAGAGAGTTTGTGGCTAGAGATCTAGATTTGAGAGACAACTGGGTTTGGATAAGATTGTTGAGGGATGATGAGTAGAGAGAGGGAAGAAGAGTGCTAAGCACCAACTATGTTTCCTTCATTCTTTCTGCATTTATTGAATGCCTGTTACGTGACTGCCACTGATTTAGGCACTGAGAATACCTCAATGAACAAAATAAACAAACATCCCTGCCCTTTGGAGCTCACATTCTAGCATCTGCAATAGATAAGGAATCTAAGCTAGGCAGTTCTATGTGGTATTATATAAGTCAAATAGGAACATGAGGTCAAAAGAACAAGAGTTAAATAATATAAACAGAAGTCTAACCTCTGAGAGAAATCCATTGGATGTGGTGACAGTATGGTCATTAATGACCAATGGTAGAAGAGTTTCAGAAGACTGGGTAGAAACTAACCTGTGGCATGAGGGGGTGGCGAGCAAGCAGAGGGAATGAGGTATAGACTATCCTTTTCACTCCTTGGCCCCTTGGCTAAGATTACATATACATTACTCTTTCTAGAAGGTAGACAGAAACAGAGAAAGCAGTGTTAAGGGAATTTGTTTTTGTAAGGAAAAGTGCCACGTGAGCATGCTAGTGGACAGAGGTATAAAGGTGATGGTCAGGGGAGAAGGAACACTGAAGATGATCAAGAGAGGGCAGTGAGTACGAGGATGAGTGAGGACGTCTGATTATGGTCAAGACAGAATAAATAAAACTGGTTTACCCTTCTGCCTGAAATAACCAAAAGAAAAAAACCAGACAAAATATAAGAAACAATTTTCAAGAAAGTGAATATCAAACAACAGAGGTTAGTTATCCCTGAGAGATGAGAAACAAATGAGATAAGCCCTACAATTGCCCCGTCTTACTGCCTTGAGAGACTTCCCAGACACAGTTCCAGTGGGAACTGAGGTGGAGCTCAGTGGATTCCCTCCATTGAGGAGATGGAACTGAGAGTCAGAGAGACCAAGGCAGCTAGAGTTCATAGGACACAGTACTAGAGAAGAGAGAGTTATACAGAGAGAGAACTTAGAGATCTACAGAGGGTCTCCCTTGAGTATCCAGCAGAGTATTCAATGCACACACGTGAGGAAACTACTCAAGGCTAGGGAAAGAACCATCTGAAAGAGCCAGAGGGAACAGTGCCTGGTGTTCACAGCGGGCTGAGAGTTATGCTTGTTTCCAGTAGCTGGACTGGGAAAGTGGTAATTCATGAGATACTAGGTAGAGTATTCAGGAAGATCTTGCCTGGGGAATCAGCCCTAACCTGAGCACTGCTCTAGATCCACCTAATAAGTCATATTAAGACTAAAGGCTCAGTTTCCCAGTAACTTTAATGCATCCCAGAACAAAGCTGTATGAGATTTACAGAAAACAAAATCTTCTAGCACTTAATAAATTAAGATTCACAATGTCTGACATTCAGTCAAAAATTACCAGGCATTGCAAGAGG